TGCTGAAATACAGGAGCTAGCACGAAGCAGATGTTGACAGGGTGGACCGGAAGTGGGATGCAGCCGCATCTGGTGATCAACAGCTGAGTTTTGACCTAGTTCTCAACTTTTGGGGGATACAGTTGTATCCCGTGTCAGCAAATGTCAATTTGTTGCTACGCACATGCGCGCGCATGCACACACACACACACACACACACGTTTGAAATTGCTGAGAAAAGGTATCTAGGAGAAGAAAATATAAGCATATAATTCAAAATAGACCATTATTACTTCTGGCGCAAGCATCCCAGCACAATTATATTACTAAACCAATGCGGAATATTAAGCAGAAGATGGAAAATGAAATTAAGTTTTAGTTTTTTACCAATCCACAACTGGACACCAAAAACACTCAAATCCCTGCTGGGTTATTACATTGTTTCGCTTAAGGGGAGAAAAATGCTAAATTCGGTAGTAGGAAAGAGTAGTCTAAATAGGAAAGGCAATTAAAATTTTATTTGGCGACAGGCATAATGCAGTGCAGCTCTCGAGTGTAATTAAAGCGAAACAGCAACAAAGCAGCGCTAAATGCACGAGTGTGACTTCGAAATGAGATAAAAGAGCAGGCCAAATGTGTTCGTTCAACATGAGCGAGACCTCCAGTTAGCTCAATAGCGCCATCTGGCCTCACCAGATGGCGCTATTGAGCACTACGCAGACTCTTCATAATTGTGAACAAAATTGGTCTTGTTTCCAGATATAAAACATGTTAGCAAGAATGCTAGTATTCAATAAACACCAATTATGTTACCAAGACAATTTCTTTATAAACAATTATGCAGAGTACGTCATGTTGAGGTACTACGTTTGCTAAATTTGTCTCCGTAGAAGAAAGTATGGCAGCTTCCTGTAGGGGAGGCGCGCCCTGTGTCACATAATTAGCGATTACTTCATCAACAATTATATTGAAAAAATTACGCTGATGTGAGACAACACTTTTTGCATATTGTTGAAATTAATATCAGGATTTTGAAATAATTAACATTGAAAAATCAACTTTTTTTTTAAAACACACTGTCCCTTGAACAGAATCATTTAACACACAAACGCAACTTAAAATGAAGCATTTTGAATGATGCATGATGTAATAAAGTACCGCAAAAGTACAATGATAGAAAGAGAGACATAAATAGATCGTGTACCCCCATGGCGTGTTGATGATTTGCCTACCTGTGATGTCTTCACGTAAAGACTCTTTCTGAACTTCCCTCGCCGTATCTCCATTTCAAGAGCCGAACCGCGGGCAACCGTGGCTCGGGTTGTTTGATTCCGACAAAACATACTTGCTGGCAGCCTCAACACGCAGGCTCCCGCTGGGACTTTTTATCCACAAACCGCCGGGAGTCCGAAAAAAGAGTTCAATCCGAAAACGAGATGCCGAACTGGGATCCAGGTGGCGCACACAAGGGTGCCCCCACCGGGGAGCGAGTAGGTCGAACGGAGAAAGCTACGCTTTCAAAAGTGGAAGTTGAAAGAGGAGTTTTGTTCCTCCTCTCAGGCAACTTTCACGAAAAACGTGTGTGTCCTTCGTTGTGTGGTCACCTTAAAGTGCCGGAGCCCGAGAGCAAAGTTTGCCCTTCCCCGTTCACAAACACTTCCACCGTGCCCCCTCACAGCCAATACTGTCGAACTTTTTCAATGAGAAAGATGACACTTGAAGGAGGAACTGAATGAATCCACTCAAATTCAAATGATTGTTGCAGTTTAAAGAATTGGAATATTTACAAGAAAAAAAAGGAAAAAAAAAACGGAAAAAAATTGATGCACTTTCGCAATCCAACCGGCTTCTTCATAATAATAAAGCACTTTTTTAGTCATTATCTGTACATTTTGGCAATTGTTGGCATTTATTGAGCACTTGGCAACATAATTCAGTAAGGTGGTTGTGTACTGTTTAACGAATAAATATATTTTTTTAATAAATGAAAGGTTTCTATATTCATTGATATTTGCAATGCTGCTTTTCTTTTTTTCACTTGTTGGTTGCACCTTTTTTTGGTGTAATTGTGACTTGTGCTGCTAATCTAGTTTCCTTCACGGAATGAATAAATAACACCTGTAACACTTTCACCATTTGAAATGTTTTTCCAGGCCTTTACTGTAGCCTCTTTCAGTTCTTTTTTGTTTGGCAGAATGAAGAATGGCAAAATGACAAGACAATAGTTTAAGAGAAATTAATCTAAGTGTCTCTTTTAACTGCCAGTGTAGTCTTTTTAAAGACATAAACAGTTAATTGAAGAGGATGGAATATGGCTGTCAATCCTTGGCAGCACCAGCTATTTACTGGACCTGCTGTGAGTGGAATTCGCGGAGGTCAGAGTGTCAGGGAGGATCAGTCACAGTGAAGCAGGGGCCACAGCCACATGGTAACGGAAACCTGCTGGGTAGATGAAACCCCACAGGAGGAATGCATGCACGCTCGCTAGAGTCTCACAATAGAACAGGTCAATGTAAACATGCGGATTCACAAAAATGGACCTCAAGGTCATTTCTGGGGCATGTCAGCGTTCCCATAGCTACATTCATCCTTTTTGTAGCCTTCCTGTCTCAAAAGCAATTATTGCACTCTGCAGAAAATGGGATTCTAGGCCATTTCATTAAAAAGTTACCACATTCTGCCTTGAGTGGTACAATAACTGTCATTGATACATTTGGTCCCTTGACACTTGACTTTTACGCCTTGATAACAGACTTCGAACAGTTAACTTGAGTGTATTAGTCAAATTACTGGCCTTATCCAGTAGGCCTATTTTGGTGTGAAGTGCACATTTCGGGGACCACAAGCAACCGATGTTTATATACAGCTCAAAGAAATAAATAAAGGGAACACTTAAACAGCACAATGTAACTCCAAGTTTTCCCTTAATTTTTTGGAGCAGTTTATGTCATTTACGGTTAGGCCCAGAAGTATTTGGACAATGGCATCATTCGTAAACGGTTTACTTTTATACACCGCCACAAATGATTTCAATCTCTCCTAATGTTTTTTTTTTTTTTTAAATCATTAGACTGATGGGACACCCTTTTACACGAATTTAATACACCTTACCGGTACAAATCATATTGTTACTGCTGTCTACAGTCAAGGTATCAATAAACACTCCTGACAATCTTCCTGACATATGATGTGGTATGCTTTGGATCATGAACATTTTATTGCCTTGATCTCATCTGTCCAAAGAAAGTGTTTCCAAATAATTGCATGTCTATTTAAATTCATGAAGGCATCCCAGTTGTTGTTTTGACACCGGGTATCAAAAGTCTACACACCTCTGTTCAAATGGTAGGGTTTTTCTGGTTTAAAAACAAATAAACCAAGATAAATCATTTGCAGTTGCCCCAAAATATGTTATTTAGAAGCAGGCTGTTTGTTGATGGGTGCTTGCGTAAATAGCTTTCGGCTGTGCATCTCATGCTGCAATGTGATCTCACTGGGAGGTGTGTGTGTGTTGCTCCCAGACTGTGTGTGTGAATTGCAGATTATGTTTACAGGTCTCACGCCACGCTGGTCAGTAGGGGGTAGACAGATATTGGGAGCTTGAGGTTTGAGGGATACTTTCTCCAAGCGGACCTGCCCGCCTTTCAACTCCTCTCGGAGACTCCATGTGAGTGAGCCCTTTGGGCAGCTCAGCTTCACACAAGCAATGCGCTTATGCGTGTGCTTTGTCATGGCACATTTCAAACCCGTCTGGAAGGAAAAGATAGGTTTGCTTTTATCTGCATCTTCTTTTCGTCAATCCCGCAAACTATATTTTGTTGGTAACTGCTCCATTTTACTCTCCGCTCACATTTCTGCCCACTCGTCGCAAAAACAAACATGACGGCTAGTCAACACTGACGCAGTGGCACGGGGTTACAAAATGGCATCAACAAAGGAACTGCTGATCATGGAAGAAGGAAAAAAAAAATGACCGTGGAGCAGCTGGAGGATGGTGATCACATGGCGCAAAAAAAAAAAAAAAAAAATGGATGAGACAAGCATGCAGGGAGACTTTTCCACAAAAGACGATTTCATCCCTCTTCCTCACACTTGTATGTACTCTAAATGCACTGCATGATACGCCACCCATGCAGCTTAGATCCAGAGAAGAGGGAGTGAGCAACTGTCATCTCACCAGCATTTTTATTTTTTAACATTTTCCTTCCTTTTCAGTGAACCAAAGCATCGAGGACCCAGAGGAATGACTGTGGCTTTCGAGTCTGCAATCATGTGGTCGTCTATATTCTAAATATAAAAGGGAATAGAGTGCTTTCACAACTCTTTTGACAATAGGAACCATTTTTAGGATGCCAGATCAAGGGAAATGACAAATAACAAATGGCACTGAAGACGAGTGGAATTCAATTGGGTCAACGTGTCATTTGCATTCGTTTGCCTCGCTTTCATGTCGCTCAGGGATGTTACCAATGTACAATATGGAAACGTGCACTATACTGTAACATCCTCCATTAACTTTCTCCATATATTTTCAATTTCTCTCTCGCTAGTAAATCACTTCGGTGCCAATGTCCTGAGGGTTTGCGGGATTACTTTCACTGATGTGTCTCCACACTGTAATCATGTCTGCCAGATGTTCCTGCATAGCTCCTGATCCAGGGTGTAAAAAGTGACAGATGCAGTGCTTTCTTTCTGGATTAGAGGTCGCAGAGATGGATGCAAAATTGTGACAAGATTTGTTTCTCTGCATCTTCTGCATACCGACTTCACGGTAATGTTTTGACTCCTTTATACGAGTCTGACTTCTGCTGGACAAGGCATGCCATTACAAGCTCATGCATGTCTGTTATCCTGCGTTCTAGTCACCTTCATTAAGTACACCACACAAGAATCGTCTTCCGAGAGCAAATTGTCGTCTTTATGAAGGCATGATGAACCTCTTGTATTAGTTTGCATGGAAAATAGAGTGTAAAAGATACTGTCAGTGAAGCCTTTTAAGAGAAAATATTGAGGCAGTTACAGAGTGTTTATTGAATATGCTTTATTAAATCTATTTACATAGAATACAAAACTGTCCTGCATCGGTTGATGTAAACGAACAAGTATATTGGCCACCATTCTTTTTTTTTTTTTTCATTTCTGATGCGGCTTGGTCCATTTGGCAGCTTCATTGCGACCTTGTTTCAAACCCTACAAAAGTACAGTTTATTCAAATAAAATTCCCACCAGAAAATAATTTTAGAATGTACCAGATACGCATTAATCAATGAAACAATCCATACCAAGTAGTAGCCTGTGTGGTAGCCACTCATGTACCAGGAGATGAGCATGCTGCCCATGGCCTCGTCGTCTCCCATGTCGGGACTCATGGGCGGAGGCGGAGGGATCATCTGAAGGTAAAAACCGAGAGCAATGGAAGAAGCTGACTTGCAGTAAATCCGTGCAGTATCAATATTTGACTTCAATCACAAAATGTACACGTTTATTACAACTGTCATTAAACTCACTGGCGGGCCGAATTGCATCATAGGAGGCCAGGGGGGAGGTACATGCCCGTGACCACCAGAATGCCCTTTCCTACCCTGGGAGTGAAAAAAAGTGAGAAAACCATTTTATTCGGTACCCCTGCACAATGGGAGGTGGTGTACAAGTTGATGAGATGTCTGCGCCACAAATATAGAGCACAGTAACCGAGAAGCACAATTTGGTGACTGAACTATTCATGGCAACGTGATCTTACCTGTCTGAATGGCGGCATGGGAGGTGGGCATGGGGGAGGGAATCCAGGAGCCCACATCGGGGGAGGTGTCTTGGGGAATTTTCCCTTTTGGCTTTTACTGTGTGGCTGTTGCTTGTGCTGGTTTGGTTCTGTAGACCGGTCACTCTCCTCTGTGGAAGATTCCGCCTCTAGTTTCTAAATTGTGAGAAAAATACATCTTCATTGTCACATTTTTTTGAAGTAGAGCACACACAAGCCGACAATCGGGCCTAATTTGAGCATTTTCACTGATCCAATATCATTTGGTGAGCCAAAACTGCTGGCAAAAACTACAAAGCCGAAGCTATTAAATGCTGATGGCATCCTGTCTGTACATATTATACCTGAAATGGAATTGGAAAAGGAAAAAAAAAAAAAGAAAGGCACGTTTGGGACAATCAGTATATTTAAATTCATTACTGTAGAAAGAAAATGTACAGATGCCTTAGCCCTAATAAAGTACTGACCCATAACAGAGGCACATAGACTTGCATCATTCACAGCAAAATATGAATGCCTGCCAGAGAAGAGTGAGCGTGTGAGATTTCAGAAAGCTTTCATTTTCATGGTGTTTGCCCGAGTCAAATAAGGTAGCAACTCAAGCAAATCCTGAAGAGAGAGATGCTTGCACAATCAAATCTCGTATTCTACCGTGGCTTTGGTTTCTTCATCGTCCTCAGAGATCTGCGAAAGCAAGTCTTCCAGGTTCTGCTCTTCCTCATTGCCGTAGTCTGTGTAGACAACGATGCATGTGCCCTTCTCCTTGTCGACAGAGGAGATGGTCGCCGAGTATAGTTGACTGTCTTCTGACCAGTACGCACAGCAAGAATCTCCAACCTGCCACTGTAACAAGAACAACGATACATTAGGCTTGTATCATTAGGAAATGTAATTTCTTACTTTCTCTTTATTACCACCAGTAACGAGCATGTTTCATTTACATCCTCACCTCTTTATCTGTCAATGTATTAGTTCTTTTCCTGCTGTTCTTCGTTTTATTATTCTTGCGCTTCTTTCCTGGTGGGATTTTGCCTGACGCTTGTGGCTCATCCTCCCCCTTAAGGGCCGTCTGGCATGTCAACAAGAGCATATCTGTGAGTCTGATAACCAACAAAACAAGTAAAAAACAACCTGCATCAAATCATCTTTTTTTTTTGTTACCTTAAATGATGCAACAGCCTTATCATATGCTTTTATCAAGGCGGTATCGTCCCAAATATCAGAGTCATCACTCTAGAAAAAGGAAAATAAAATATTTCACTTGAATAAACATTTGAATATGCATGATGATACGTATTTTTGCCAATGTGTGTCTCTGTAACAGCGGTCAATCAATGAGCTACCTTAAATATAATAACCAAAATATGAGTACCCTTGAAAGCACTTAACACGGTTATTATATGTGTATGCGTTTACCAAACTTTCCAATTATACCAAATATAGTATAAAGATTAAGAGAGTTATATTGACTTAGAGGTTGGCCAGAAATTTATGCATTTTTCTCTCTTCATGTTTATCAAAGGAAAATGATATTTGTATCACTTGAATTATCTTTAAAAGATCTGGCTGTTAGTCAGTGGTGGCCCTCCTGTAAATTAATCTTTCCAATTTATAAATATGCCGAAACAGTCCATCAAACCGGACCGTGTGCAGGACACTATTTTAAAAAGTTGCACTTTGCAGTGGTTTCGAACTATTTCCATAATTCAGTCCCTCTCGTCCAGCGAGACAATATAATAGTCTACCAAACCATGACGTATTTTCGGAGTATCTTCTATCTTGATTTTGTACGGAATTTTTAAATGACTGTAGCGCGTTGGTTTGTTAGCTTACCAAAATCGCTCTCTCTAATGTCGTACACAAGCATAGCGTTCTTCGACGTGCAGATTATAATTTAATAGTGTTAATACACAACAGTGTGACTCACCTGGCCGGTACCCCGCATGAATAGCGCGTCTTTACATCCATTCGCCATTTATATAAAACAGTGGCTAAATTCACAGCTAGTTGTTTAACAGCGAACGAGCTACACGCGTCGAAGATGTGACGTAGGCGCACGCAATGACGTATTTTTCATGCGACGCAGAGGGTTAGCCTAGCAACGCATGGTTGTTTGTGTGTTTTAGCGAAACTGCGCGTCAGACCACATTTGGGGTTGTATTTTGTGTTGTTTGTCATTCTTGCACCATGAATGAGTCATCTATTCGTTCTCTGGGGCTGAAAGTTGTTGTGGCTGCTTCCAACGACGAGAACCACCCGCCGGAAAATATGATTGACGGGTAAGGGTCTCTCTCCTCAGTGAGTTTTGTTTTTGTTATGACAGGACTGATTTGTAAATTGGTCGAGTGCAGTCCGAGTTTTACTTGGGACCTGGGAGTTTTACCAGCTATTTAATGTCTTTGAACCAGAAACGCCAACACATTTTGGATGTCCACGGGAATGTTTCCTCAGGAATTCATCATTCGCTTTGCAGAAATGACAAACGTTTCTTCAGTAACCTTGGACAGCTATAACGGTGGGTTGAAAAAATAAATCGAACATGAACGATTAGACTCACTTTTCATTCACACTGTCACATTTATCTTCAAACATTCATTGTAAAAAATGGTGTGATTTGTTTGAGAATCACTTTTTTTTTTGCAGATTTACAAGAATAGTTGTAAATTTACAGATGTGCTAATGATTTAAATCCAGTTATGAAATATTTCAATAAATGTTAAGTGTTAAAACTTGAACGCTAAATCGAACAAAATGTTTAGACTAGTGAGGCTGCATACAACATGTTCTTGTAAAGACATTCTTTGAGGGTTAACCTTCCCTTTAATGCTAAAAGGTACATCCAGGTTTTGGAGAAACATTTGCTGCCGTCCAAGCAACGTCTTATTCATGGATGCCTCTGCTTATTTCAGCAAGACATTGCCAAACCACAGTCTGCATGTGTTACAATTTTGTAGCAAAAGAGTGCAGGTACTCAACCGGCCTGCCTGCAGTCCAGACCTATCTGAAAATGTGTGGCGCATTATTAAGTGCAAAATACAACAACAGAGACTCCGGACAGTAGAATAGCTGATGCTGTACATCAAGCAACAACCGAAAAAAAAAAAAAAAAACCAACAAAAGGTTTTCTCTGGGTAATCCGGTTTCCTACCACATTTCAAAAATATGCACCGCAGGTTAATTGATCACTCTAAATTGTCCTCAGGTATGGTTGTGAATGGTTGTTTGTCTACGTGTGCCCTGCGATTGGCTAGCAACCAGTTCAGGGTGTACCCCGCCTACGTGGTCATCTGGGATAGGCTCCAGAACACCCTAACCCTCGTGAGTGAGGATAAAGCGGATCAGAAAATGGATGGATGGATGTACGGTATTCTGTTTATATTTACAGCATGTTTAACACAACGTCTCGACTTAATTGCAATTGGGTTCTCTAAACGTCAAACCAAAATCAAAATGTGAATGTGATTTAGATTTGACATTTATGATTTTTCTTTCACTCAGGAGAGTGACGTCACGTGCATGCGTGTCATTCCGAGTCAAAATCAAGGTTGGTTAATGCAGCATAAATAGTTATATTCTTTTCAAGGCTTCAGGTGTTCCTAAAAATGAGTTAAAATAGGGTCTCGCCTCTTCCATAATGATGCCCTCAGACAAAGCCTAACAGATGAGTCACGCTTTGTTAGATGTTCTCCAAGGCTGTATCCTAAATCTAAACACAGCCATTGTTCATTTCATTTTAGTGAAATTTGGTGATGAGTTAATTAAATCTTCTGGACAGGCCTGATGACTCTTCCCCCTCGCTTTGTTTGTTGCAGTCAAGCATCTAAAAGTAGAAAAGAACACATCGGAAAACGCCTCTCACTTTGAGTTTGTTGAAGAGAAAGGTAGGGATGATGAATATATGCATGTATTAGTCACTCACTTGCTTTACAAATCCTAATTAACAGTTTTTCCTGCAGAACTGAAACTCACAGAGGGACAGCTTCAGACAAATTCTATTTCAGTAGGTTCAACATGATCATATCAAACTTAATTAATGAAATGAACTTGGGGGCAAATCCTAACTTGTTTTCCTTACTTTGTGTTTGTTTTCCAGCTCGGCGGAAGCAATGCAACTCACCTTCGTTTTATCATCACCTCAGGATACGATCACTTCGTTGCGGTGCACAAAATAGGTGTGAATGTTCATTTGACATAAAAGTCTGCACACCACTGTTCACTGGGCCATCACAAAATCTTACTGGGAATATGTGTTCTGGTCTGGTGGTACAGTGAGGCATGGTAGTGGCTTCACCATTTTAGCTGTTTTTCTCTAACCCAAACTGGGTCCATAGACAAGGTGGCAGGAATTACTGGTATGAACACTTTGTAATCGCAGTGTTAGCCCAAAACCTCCAGGCTTCTACTAGTAACAAAAATGCCGGCAAAAGCCTACTAGAACACCTGAACTTGATTTGGGGGTCAATCACAGGCACTTTGAATGTGCTGACTTCTTTCTATCTTACATGAGGTTGAATGTGATTGGTCATTTAAAAAAAAGTTTAAGATATTGTCTTATATCACAAAAACAGCTGATCTTATGGGTGTGTAGACTTTTTATATCCGCTGTACAATCCGGTGGAACGGAGATTCAGACACATGAAACTCTTGCTCCTCCGCGCTGCTCTATAAATTATTTCTACCCTGCCCTCATTTGGAGTGAAAGCAATTTTTGTTGTTTTATCTAGTGACACAAGAATGTGGAAAAAGACAGCCAGTTTGTGTTTAAGATATAAATGATAACTATCAAGATTACATTTTGTTGAAAACATTGTGTAAGCCAGTATTGACAAAGAAATGGAAAACCTTTTAAAATGTGAGCGAAACATTTTATGTGACTGGCGCACATGGTGGACTAGTGGTTAGCACCTTCGCCTCATACTTGAGAGGTTCTCAGTTTGAATCTTCATTCTAGATGCTGCTGCTTCTTCGTTGGTCGTTTAGAATGCGCCCGGTCCATATTCTGACTGAGTTCAACCCCAATTAATTAAAGATATGGATTCACAGAAGAGACCTTTCACAGCGTTTTCATCTGTTCCTGCTAATTTGGCAAAGCTTCAGAAAAAGAGCTGGCTTGCGCGGAATGGCACAGATACAAAGGGCATTTCTTTCTCATTCTCTCTCAGAGAGAGACACAGTTAATTAACAAATTTTCAGCTGAAGGGGAAGGGAGGCTTGAATTGGCATCTGGACAGGCTCCCTCCCATGCATCGATATTGACATCCCAATAGAAAAGGGAATGGTGGAGGGGGGGTGGCTGAGGGGGCACGGGTGCGGCAATCGGAGGGTAGTGGGCTCCAGATGGTTTCCCAGCCAAGCAGTTAAGTCTCCAAAGACCGCAAACCTATTCGCTTTAGCTCACGCATGCATGTGCACAAGCACACTCGGTACTCCCATCCTCCACACAGCCGCACTATACTTTGCCCCAATCTCCCTCCACTGCCATGTCATCTTATCAGGTTGAGCAGCGCGCGCGCGAGGACCCTCTGGGACTCCCTCCCCAATTACTTTGCTGACTGCAGAGGAGGTCGGGGATTTGCCGAGGCGGCCCTGTAGCGCGGCTCTTTGAATAAACCAATAAAAGTATAAAATAGCGGGCTAAATAACAAGCCCCCTGATATTTAAGGAGCAACTAATTGCTCATGGGTATGGTCGCGATATAGCACATTTGAGTATGTGAGTGTAATGAGGTCATAGCGGCGACTGTTACACCGTTATTGACTCATTCATTATTTACCTGGACGGCTTATTTATAGTAGCAGGGGGGCTTTGGTCATCAGTCAGGATATTCCCCGTGAACACGCTTTGGAATCTGAATATGGTGCGGTAAGTATGGTTTGCAAATGCGCCGCCCCTGCGCTAATGAATTCAGGCCCCCCTTTTGTTCTTGACTGTCAGCCGATGAGGAGAATCACAGCAGGATATGAGAGTGTCATTATCATGTCACCGCAGGGCAGGCTTCGGTTATCGGCCGGTGTCTTTTTCGGGGCTTTCTTAACGGCCGTCCAATGACACGGAGATGCCCGCTGGACCGCAACTCATTATAGCACAAAGCATTACTACCAGGGCCGATCCTGCGACGGGGGGTGGGAGCAAGCGCCGTGGAAAACGGATGGGATGAATGAAGTTCTTACAAACTTTGGGAGAAATCTTTTGAGTGTTTTTCTTTACCGATGGGTAGATGCTTGGATTATATTTTCAGCACCCACTTAGGTCACCAATTATGTTTATGCAAGAACACACACACGTATAGATGTTAACATCGTGTTTGATTTTCCTATCCTCTACTCCTCAACAAAGATACTGTCAATGGAAATAAATTCAATTGTTGACAAAAACCCTTCAGGGCTGGTGTAGGTGTCCAAATGGTGAGCGCATCTAAAATCCAGATATTCCACGAAATATATTGTGATCATGTGTTCTAATCAGGAAGACGCCTCACCCTCTGCTCTGTTTAAACAGACTTTGGATGTGTCCTTATCAAGTTATGAGTAATCCTCCATGCATGCCATGAACAAAAGAGCCACACACTGGCAACGGGCTTTAATTTGATTTCATGTCTGATTTTGGTGCAATCAGCTCACAAAGAGAAGGAGATGATTAGGCAAGAGGGAAAACAATCTCATTCTTTAAGTCCAAATAAGGGCGTGGGCATCATGAGCGAATGATAAAAGATTCGGAGCTGATGCTTGGAATCCATTAGTAGTGATCAATCAGAATCCAGCGTTTGCCCGGTAAAATATCTTTGAGACTGTGCTTCTATTTTCATGTTGTAATCAAAAGTCAGAACATTGAAAAAAATGATTAGACCACCCTTATGTCATCAGTTTCTTGTTCATTTTCAATTCCTGGGCTAATTCCTGTTTTTTTTTTCTTCAATAAATGGATAGATTAGGGTCTGATTTGGCGCAAGCTTAACGTTGCTCATGTCCAAAAGAACGCCATCCATACAGTGAAGCATACTAGTAGTATCATCATGCTTTGCTTTTTTTGGGACGTTTTTTCTTGAGCTGGAATTGGGGCCTCAGTCAAGGTGGAGCGAATTACGAACAGTTCCAAATAGCAGTCATATCACAGCACCTTAAGGCTTGTGCTAGAAAGAAACAAAACACCAGGAGGCTGACAGAAAAGGCCTCATCAGAGGCACTTAAAAGTGTGCGCTGACTGCAATTTAGCATGAGTTTGAACGACGGACTAGAAAGATAAGTTAAAAAAACATGTTACATAACAACTTAACGCCATCACTGCTAAACATCCTGCAATTATTCATCTTAAACAGTTTTGCACTCGTTCCAACATCCTCTTTTGGCAATTTTCTCCCCCATTAAATGATTTCTGAATGTGCTGACGTCAGTTAACAGATTTTTTTTCAATTAGCTGGCAAATGTTTGGCAAAATGTGCCAGTTTTTTATTTATTTATTTTATTTAAAACATTTTTTTCCAGGAATATCATCTGTTTTGTTTAACTATTATCTCCCAATTGGATAATTAATCACCTCAAGTAACCTTATAAAAAAAAAAATAAATTAAAAAAAAACATTATCTGCTGTTGCATATTAAAAGAGTGGAAACATGGTGAGACATATGGTTGGGAATTTTTTCAAATTAACAATACCATACGAGCGAATAAATTGAACAAAGTTGAATGCGCTGTGTTGGGAAAGTTTAAGTGAATAGATATAAACTGGGAGATAGCACTTTTTCAATTTCTTCTTCACTATATCCCTGGAATTTATTTCTGTTTTTTCACATTGGAACCCATTAATCTCTCCTTTCCACACACCTTTGCCTACACGCACACACATTATCTCAACATGAGCCCCCCCCCCCAAAAAAAAAGGAAATGTGTTGTACTTTACTGCTATTACATGTCAGGAAACTTCAAATATTAGGGGCAGAATCAAACAAACAAATTGATATGCATTGATTTACATTAAAACAGAATATTGAATGGGATATTTTATTCACGAGTAAAACAAAAATGTCTGATTGAAATGTCTTAAAAGCTGTATTTTATGCAGTTGATATTGCTTTATTAGTTTTCATGCTTGTGGAGACAAATGTTTTGCAACTGTCATAATAATTTGCGTTGCAATCATAATTTCGCCAATTCAACATGATTTTAATCATGAAAGGACCTGTAAAGTACAAAAAAAAAATAGCATTCAAAAAGGATTTTAACCTTCAATAAATTAATATCATGCAAAACAAAATTATATAATTTTATATTTTGATTGGTTTAATTAAAAAAATGTTAAGCGCTACAATAGCAATAATTAGCTATGGCAATGACCTCCAGTGTCTGCTGTGAAGGCTTTAGTGTTAAAAAAAAAAAAAAAAAAGGGAAAAAAGTACAAGTGGCAGCAGGCAGTCATATCTCAGTGGCGATGACATCATCATAGGTCTGCAACCCTGAGCTGTACTTAAGATCCAGGGCCAGTCCCGCCCGAGCCTCCAGTTCAGCATTCAGCTCCTTCATGAGTCGCTCCAGGTCCTGGTTCTTCTTGTGCACCTGCAGGTAGTTGATCTGGAGCTGCTTCTGGTACTTGATGACCTTGTCCTTCTCCTTGTTCCACGTGCGTCTCTCCTGGTCGAAAGTGATTGCCAGTCTCTCCTGAGCCGCCTTCTCCTCGCCGAGCTGCCTCTTGAGTCTCTCCACTTCTTTGTGGAGGAGTTCTGAGGGCGTTTGGCCCACAGGCTCCTCTTTTGCCTTGTGGACGGTGGTGACTTGCTCTGCGGCTTGTTTTTGGACGCACGGCTCAGGGTGTGAAGTGCGCTGATGCGGCTTCTGGTCTTTAGCCTTTTCATCAAAGTCCTTCTCCAGTTGGCCCACTTTTTCTCTCAGCAGATCAGCTTCATTCTTCTTGCGCTGGAGTTCATTTTGGCACACCTAAATTGGGAAAGAAGAGACTTGATGAAGTATTTTAAATCATCGTTCCCCAATGAAATCAATAAAAACGTGATTAATCCGTTCTATTTTCCCAGAAAACATCCACCAAATTTATTTTAAATCCAGACAATGCAAATTTCCATTCCTAATGTAATCAAGGTTATTTTGGATTTGTCATTGTCGTTATTTTTGTAGTTTCGTTTTGACTTTTGCTTTAGAAATTCAGCTAGTTTTCATGATTTTTTTTTTTTAAAGCAAAGCATGTTAGTTTTTTTTAGTTTTTTCCGAAACTGCGTCGGTTTAGGTGTTTGGGTTTTTTTTTGTTCATGACAGGATCAGTTTAATTTTTGAATGTGTGGAGTACAGTGCAAGATTAAAAAATAAATCACCAAGTATTGTGTAATAAACAATACAGTAACGCTCAAACAACTGACCTTGCTTCCTCAAGAGCTATGGCTGTGCAGCAATACCGAAATAAATACATTTAAAATGGCTTCTGAACGCTCATTTATGGTATTCATTGACAAAAAAAAGAAAATTAAGTCCATTATAATTATAGTTAGTTTTGTAAACCATAAAAATATACTCTTAGTTACTTTTCATTTTTTTAAGTGCATTTTCATTTTTATTTTATTTTTCTAATGTATTTTTTCAGTTTTAGTTATTTTCATTAGTTTTTGTTAACTATAATGAACCTGATTGTAGCACACTTTTTTTTTTTTTTACAATAAGAGCCTCCTGTTAAATACATCCTTCACACAAATTGCCACGATAGGGAACATGAAGTTTGTATTTAGGCATAATCCTGTTTACCAATGAGTGTGGAAATGGATACGCTCAAAGTGTGTCAATCAAAACTGGGCATTTGCAGCTTTATCGAGCACTAGTGCAAAAAGTTTTGTCTGCTTGTGCTGCTCCTGAATTATTTCCCTGAAACTCTATTTAGGGTGGCGATGACAAGAACAAAAAAAAAAGTCTTTCACTTTAGCTGAGGAGTGCTCTTGTTTTCGAAAAGTGACTATGCAGGTGTCCCTGATATTATGACCAGAGAGCGTCCTTGAATAAATTTTGACATCAAGTGGACCTACCGAAAAGCAACTCAACATTCTTACCAAGTACTTTTGTCTGAAATTATAACAAGAGTAGGTCATTATTCTCTGTTTGAATTTGAACCCGAGCGTGTAAAGACATTCCGAAAGAACCTAACCTTCACTTGGATGGTGCGGGAGCGTAGCCTGTCGCCGCCGTCTTTGTTCTCTTCCTTGAGCATCTCCGCCTTGGCTGTGATTTCCTTCAGCTGTGCCCTTAGGCCGACTATTTCATTGAGCTTGTGGCTGACGTCCTCCTGGCTGTCTCGCAGCTGCTGCTTCAGAAGGGAGATCTCGCCTGCTTTCTGGCACACCTACATTGGGACACAAAAGATCACAGTGTCCTCTGTTATGTGCGTTGTACCCTTCTGGGGGCTGTTCAAGTATTTTAGCGGCAAATGTTCCTCTTATGGAGAACGAGAGATATATTTCTCACCACTTGCTGGCATTTTGGTATCTTTCCAGTCATGATACACATTTTACAGTGTTGGATTTTTGAATGGATAGGATATTTCCTCGCTTGACAGGGTCCTGGGAAAATACCCATTGCCAATTGGGAAGATACTTCACAATACAACAACAGCAACACTCTTATTCGCTGCGGTGTGTCAAATTCATAAGTGTTCACTTTCACTTCACAGGGACTTTAAAAAAAAAAAGGTCCCATAATGCCACAATCATGTGTCACCTCCCACTGAGTTTCCTCGAGCGTCGGAGCGAGTTGCGTGTTCTCCTCCTCGTAGGCGCTCAGTCTTCGCTCGATGAGATCCCTCTCTCGGTTTAGCGCTGCGAGATCCTCCTTGAGTTTCTCGTTTTCTGCCTGCGCGAGATGCAAACCTCATCAAGAGGGGAACAATTTAGTCCATCGTGTGAAGGAGTTGGGGTGTTCTGACCTGGAGTTGGCTGACATGCAGCTGCAGTGCTTGGCGGCTGTTGGCGGCCATCTGCGAGGCTTGTTGCAACGACGCGGAGCATCGGTGGTTCAACTCTTGCATTTCGTCCGCGCAATACTTTTGTCTTTCCTCGAAGAACTTGTAGGTGGCCGCTTCCTTCACCTCATAACTCACCTGTTGTTGATTTGGGCGAAAGCTCAGCAAACACGTTGATAGTGATACGAAATCAGTCATCACCCATTGAAGAAATGATAATTCGGTTTAACCAGAGGTGGGCAGTCTGTCAGTACTGACGGGAAGTCCGTCTGTCAGTCACTGACAGGCGCCCATTTTTCTGGTGAATGACGAGAACATCGAGCGAGAGCGAGAAGACGACCAAAGAGAAGGTTGCTAGTCATTAGGGAACACGTGAAGGCAGTTGGCAGACGATAGACTTTGATGGAAAACGATAGACTTTGATGGAAAAGGTTGACTCGCTGTGCCGATCCTTAACGGGACAAGCGGAAAGGAAAAGAAGAAGTACAAAAAAGTAGCACGTTGAGCAGCGATGAGCTCAACGAGGCGGCTTGAGAGCCAAATTCGGACCTGTAACTCTTGCAGTTCATTCTCTCTCTCCAGTAGTCTTTGTTCCAACGTTTCGATGAGTGACTCGTCTGTCGTCAGAGGAGACCGACTCCCTCCCACAGTTTCTGAGAGACGTTTCGGCCGATGTGAAGATAGCGGGGAGCCACCGTCGCTTTGAGCCTTTGATGACAAGCCCCCGGGGCTCAAACTAGCCATGTAGCCACCATCTCGACCCCCACTGTTCACCCAGGGGGACAAATTGGGCTGAGCTCCCTTGAGGAGGCAGTTGGCGGGAGCGGAGCTGCCATCGCTGTGACTGACAGGGCCTGTGCAAGCACTTAGGCTTCCACTAGTGCTGTGGGTGGGGAGGCTTGACATGGAGTTGCGACCAGAGTCTGACAGATTCCCTGAAAGGAAAGTTGGGGATTGATTTTTGAACGCTTGTTTGGCATTCAACCCACATCATAATTGAAGTTTATCGGCCGGTGTCGTTTAGATATAGACCAGAGGATGTGTCTCGCTTGTGTCGGATGTCGGGACTCTTTGATTTGTCCACTTGGCTGAGGATGCGGTCCAGGCTGTTGCGCTGTGCTTCTGTAGAGGATACACTCCTGGGACTTAAAGGCTTGTATGCAGTGGATCGGACCAGCGACTTCTCAGCAGTCGTCTAGAAGAGTGAAATGACACGTTGTCAGAAATGCTCTGCCCGCCTCCCGCCCTTTTTTTTTTTTCATAGTCACAAACTCCTTTCAGCTGACGGCCTTACAAAATGCACGTCATCCCATGCCTGACAGAGCCAAGGATGCACAACTTCAAGTCCCAGCAACTAACTTTCTTCAGAGTCTGGCACAATATCCATCCATCCATCCATTTTCTATACCGCCTGTTCCGCATGGAAGATGGAAAAGGTGGAGCCAATCCTAATTGATTTAGGATGCACTTAGATCAGGAAATTCACACCAGGCCTTGGCCCGCTTGACACCGACTCTATTTTAATGCCAAACGCAAGTCTGGCGTGAGGCATGGTCTAAATCTGTGCATGGGCGGGACAGACTAAGTTTTGATATTTTTGCAGACTCATGCGAGCCGGTGCCGCGTGGTGCATTTAAAAAAAGGAGTTTTTTTCAACATTGTGGGCGTGAACGCAGCCGACTTGATTGACAGCCAGATAAAGCGGCCCCTCTCATCCTTTCAAGTATCGCAAGGGAGAAGAGCGCTGATAGTCCTTAACCTTGACATGGCAGAAGAAGTCACTGATTTGAGTCCCGCACCAGGTAAAGTCGGTCTCCAAAGAACTGCAAGCTACAGGCGAATGAGAATGTTAGCTTGGGAAAATCAGAGAGATATCAAGTGGGCACTCGCAGGCCACCTTCTACCCGGATCATACATGTCTGCTAATATTTTTGATGTTTAAAATGGGTTATGTAACATTGTGACTGAGAGTATGACTGGTTGTCTGTCCCTTACTGTATTGTATATGTTCTAACCAGAACACCAGTGCGTCTTGTAAACTTCCTAATCCACCATCTTTTTGGATCGTCAACCCAATAGCACCCCAAGTTAGCATTACGCTGTAGGCTGTATCACTGACTGACATCTCCCACAACAGGCATGATACGAAAACGTTGGATGCGGGACGATCTGAATGCCACAGTCTCTCTCCATCTGTATTGTTCAAGAAAGCGGAACCATACAGTAGCTCCCTTCCTTTTTCTTCCCCCCCCCCCCTTCATTCTGTATACCGCACCACCCACCTCTCATATGCTGCCAGAAGGAAGATGAATAGCCCTTTCCTGGGTTGTTAATAATATGGGATGCTGAGGTAAAGAAGGAATGCTTGTGAGCTCAGCATTCCTCCTCGCCGACGACATGACTGGGATATGGGGGGGGGGGGGCTTTTTTTGATTTGAAAAAATAAATCTCTCTCCCTATCTACCAAGCTCAATTGGATGCTGATCTATCTCCCATTTCTGCTTCCTCTGCCCCCCAACTTTGGCCTGGGATCCCTGAGGCTTCTAAAAGCTTTCAGAGAAGGTCATTTTCACCTCCTTACTGTCAGCGCACTCAAATCACTTCCCCGAGTAGATCAAGGTTATTCATTTGGAAAGGGGTAATTATGAAAATGAGAAGGTTCACAAGCGACAACTGTCCGCTACCTGCTGTGAGACCTCTCGCTTAAACGTTTCAGGAGCTTTTTTTTTTTTTTATTTTAAGAGCGCACTCCTGAAGTCTCTGACTCATTAATGGAGCATAATGGGGCACCGGGAAGTCAGATCCCGGGGCCAAAACTACTTCCTGTCAATTCGACAATACACGTGAACTGCTTCTACCCAGTGCTGATGAACTATTAGAAACATACTATATTTAAAATTATAATAGTCATACACTTACAATAAGATCATTGTTGTTACTTTTTTTTTTTGGCCAATTTGCATGGTTCTACTCAGCAGGGGTGTCAAACCCATTTTAATCGCGGGACAAATTGTGGTGATGGTTTCCCTCAGAGGGCCATTATGACCGTGAATTTTGTGAATTGTGTCACTTCCACATATTACACTCACGGTGCACAACAAAGTGATGGATAACGAGTTTTGAAAGCAGAAGTCAAGAATAATGGCTTGTTCGTAAGCATTAGTCAATAAGTCTGATGACAACAATCATGCGAACAAATTTGCGGATTCAATGTTTCATGTTTCATGAAAGACAATGTCAACACGTGGACTGACAATAACTGCATTCTTACCCCATCAGTCCCTGACATTAGTTTGGGTCGCTCGTCGGATTTCTCCTGTCCGTTCCGTCCACCGATGTAGTCTTCTGTTGAGCCTCCTCTGTGGTGCGCTGACCTCGGTTTATGGCTCACCTTATGTCAAACACATTCATTTTTCTCATCTTTATCTGACAGAAGATCACGTATGTGTCATTCAAAAGCACATGAGCCCACCTTGATGTAAAAAAAGTCCTCGCTTCGTCCCGACCGGGAGTGCGAGATGCCTTTAGGGAGGTGGGCGGGAGAAGGAGGAAGAGAGGAGGAAGCCTGAGTGAAGCTACACTTGAGTAAGTCATCAAGGCTGCACCCGCCATTGCGTCGAGGCTGATTCGCTCTGTTTTTCAACCTCAACTCTGACGCCTTGCAGTGTTTACTATTGAGTTCGTCGTTGGTGATGAGGCTGCTGACGCTCCCCATGTTCCCGCCGGGCAAGTGAAGGGTTGACTCAGCTCATGACCACCCCAGAGAAGTTCATCTGCAAACATAGCACGATGAAGTTTAAAAGATGTGAGCTAGTTTTTTTTCTCTCTCATAAAATTCATGCCAGCACCGATTTAAAGCAATTTTAACTGTTGTTTATTTAACTTCATTGCTTCCTGGTCGTTGAAGAAGCAACATCTGGAGCAGGTGTGCTTTCATTTCCAAAGTAAACACAGTGGAAAAAACAAAAAAAAGCCCATGTTGGCTCCGTGCCCGGCTTTGTGTGTCTCGATTTATGGCTTAACCGTTGGATTGGACTCAATAGGCCTTTGTGTTCTACTTTTAAACAAATTAGGACATTGACTGACCACTTGCAAACATTTGATTAATACCTCACTCTCATTTTACTGAAAAAACATGCGTGTATTCTTGATGTTTACAATCCCATTGGTAATTCCCACCCCCAAATAATTCCACAGCGGTGCGGGCGATTCTGTCCATCCGCGGGAAAAGACAATGAGGCCCCAGATGTAGTGTGACATGATCTGACCCAGAATGGAGAGTGGTGGCTATCAGGCTCAGAGGCACCCCCTCACCAGCTGGTCCTCAGCCCCTCACCACTTTATAATGACCGCAGCAACAAAGGCTTGGACTATCATGTAGTTAATCACATCACATCGGAATTAAAAGGGTCATTTAGCATTACTGGACGCATGGCTCGATATGTGTCGTACGCTCAGCCGCAATGAGGTACACCTTGGAGGTACGCCTGCAATTTAATGAGATGAGAGGCATCACAGGGTCAAAGGTCTTTACAAAGATCGTAGTTTTTAAATACAGAGTCAATTCATAATATATTCATGATTTTTATTAATATGATATCATGGTAGTCGTGTCAAGCTAGACTGGAATAAGCAAGACTTATTTTCCACGTACTGCGCATGGTGTATGATTGAACGTTGAATATGATCAGAAATATTATCAAAAGCAAGATATGCAAATCATCGACAGCAGGGGTGTCAAACCCATTTTCCTCTCATTTATTACATATGAGAATTCAATTTTTTGGTTCATATTTTAGCAAGCATCATGGAAGTTGCCATGTTTGATTTGCTTTCGCAGGCCACATAAAATGATGTGGCGGGCCACATCTGGCCCCCGGGCCTTGACTTTGACAACGGAATCTAGAGTACTGTATGTATGGAACTAATGCAAATTTTATTAGTAGTATTGTTATTTTTTGCACCTGTGCGCTGTTTTACGCTAACGCGCCGAGAACACTTGAATTTCCCCTCTCATCTTATTTTATGTTATAACCACCTCAAATGACAAGCACAATAATAAACATAAACTGACATCGTCACATTTGTATGTTGCGTAGTTTTACATTTTATCATGGTTTATCTCCTTGCTATTTAAATGAACCCTTTTTGTCAATATTTTATTCTTTAATCAAATATATATTTAATAAAATACACAGAAAAATACTGAGCAGACATTTCATATTTGTTTTATTGCTTTTGCTCCTCTGTTATTTAGACTTTGTTTGATGCCCAGAAAAGCATTTAAAAATAAATGTACTATATATATCATCATGATTGCTGTTAAATGACAGTGCCAATTAAAACTGTATTTTTTTTTCTCACAAAAACAGCTCTCGTATTCGTAAATCACGGATTTAGTCCAGGTGTACCCAATCTTGCGGCCCGCCGGCAGCGGCAGCATTTGACTTTCTTGTTTTGATTACAAGAGTAAAAGAATGAATAGCGGTGCAAGCGCTGATCAATTTTCATCATCTGAGAAAACAATAAGCAGACACGACATCGCGCTGAAATGCAATGAGGAGGAAGATAATGGGCGGCGAGCACGGCAGAGAAACCTTTTATACAGAAAGTCATTCAAAGGAAACAAAAGTCTGATCGCTGTCAAAATAAAGAAAAACAAATCCAGAATCTCATTATCTAATCCATGAACTACGCAGATATTACACGGAGCCAAACAACAATGGCAGTGAACTTTGCATCTGCAAAAGCACAAACAGTCATTGCTCCTTTTGTGTGGCTCCAGCTTTCTCTATCACGCTCACAGCACTCACATACATACACGGTGAAACGGCTTTTTTACTTACTAAGCATGCACCTCTAACCAGGCCTCCCACGGGTGATCTGTCCAGTCCTGCATGAGGACGCCCAGCCTTTCACACACGCACAGACCCGTATCAGAACACCAAAAAAACGCGACTAGGCCAACGGGGTCCGATAATGTGCAGTTGAGGGGTGGGGTCGTCGGCTTTGCATTATAACTGACATGTAAATGGCATTTTCTGTGTGTGCGTGTGTTTTTTTTTTTGGGACCTCCCTCTTTACACCCCCTCCTGCCCCACCACCGCTCCCTGGGGGGAGTAAGTGTACAACATGTGCACCCTCAGAAGCGACGTGTGCCGCTCAAGTGATTAACTCGAGGCCCTCACAAAAGATCCGCCCGTGTACCCTCCACCCCCACCCACTCCTTCTCCCCTCCCCACTGTCACCCGGACACCTCCTTGCTTCTGCATCGGCCTTGGATGTGCTAACCTCCCCTCCCTCGGTCCCTGCGGCCCGCTCTGTGCCCTGCACCCACACTAAACAAACAAGCCTTCAGCTGAAGGAGGGAAAAAAAAGCTGCTTGCTTCTTTGTGTGTTGAAGTGTGCCGCTCTTTGTGTTCTACTCCTGTTGATGTATTCTACCCAAACGGGCCCGGACCATATTTGAGTGTTAAATAAAGGAGTCAACCTCACAATGGAGAAGGAGCTGGAGAGCTTCACTTTTCGTGTGATTTACCACCTTGGCGCCACGCATATTCAAACGGAATGTTTCAGGGAGCGTCCCGCGGGACGACGACGTACGAGGTGCTCTCCCCTAAAAAGACAACAACAAAGAATGGAAGATATACTGTATTTGGTGGTCCTGGAGTGGCGCGGACAAATGAGGTGTAAATCTAACAGGCCATAGATGTCACAAGTTGTCTTATATTTTCTTCTTAATGTGAAGAAAACAGACAGCTTTGCAGTATATCTGCTGATTGATTGTCATGGCCATACACAAGGAAATCAATGGGGAGAACATTTGGTGACATCATGTTATCTGCAGAGAAGATTTTTATGTGCAGGATTTTCACGCTCTGAGAATAAGACACACTATCTCAGACAGTACCATTCCTTTCGGTTAATGTTTTTCCTCGACGAAAGGGCCGCCTGAAAAATCTCATGACAACAAGTAAAGCTTGGAGCTTGAATCAAAAACTTGGTACACACGTACTCTCTTTCCAGCAAAGGTCCGATTACGCTTCGTGTTCAATTGCAACCTTTTATCACAGCTGACTTTATAGTGTCCCGAAACGTATTTTTAATGCTCATTTCAAAAACGTCTTTACTTTTTTCCTAACCCATCAGGTTTTTGAGATGTATTCATTTTTTAAAAAGTTAGCCTATAAAAGCGTGTGCAATACAGATTTTACCGTGTGTTGCAATGAACTGGTATATTTTCAGGAAAAAAAAATTACCTGTTGCCGAATCTAACTCTTAATTCATAACTAAAATCTATCACTATATATATTTTATACATATTATATTATTATACGGGCGGCACGGTGGGCGTCGGGTTAGGATGCTGGCCTCATAGTGCAGAGGTGCAGGGTTCGATTCCATCGACATCAACATAGCTAGCTCGCTAGCTAACGACAGAATAGTGGAAGATATTAGCCAAGTGACTCATTTCTCTGTAATGACAGTTTCATTTCACTTTTATGAGTGTTAAAGTGCTCAATATTGATTGAGCAGTCGGCGTGCTACAAGCGCGTTTGTGAGATGGCGAGGGATGATAGATACACGTGTTCGTCGCTTATCTGCACAAAAGTGTTTGCACTTCTTTGTGTCCAAGCAGGGGGCTTTCTGCGTGTGCAAGGGGGGGGGGGGGTATCATACTTTTGAGCACCCGCTGACCCGCCTGACACAAAGCAAGGCTGACTCACAATGGACCCCCCCCTCCACGCACATACATGCTCATTGACATCGAGTGTAGAGCATAGCCAATCGTTTTTACCGCAGCCGGTGGAAGGCAGCATTGTGCTACCACGTTGTAAGATTTATACCTGCCGCTCCCACACAATGACCATGGAACTTTCCACTGTACCTCCACACTGCCAGATGGCACCGCTTTAATTCTCACTGTCTGCATGTTAATTTTGAACAGATGCATGTATAATCTATCTGGTTCACGGTGTCTGTTTTTTTAGGTCACTCTCTGCCACAGTATTGTTCTTTGGGTCGGGATTTCTTAAGCTTTAGTAATTTACTCTTCTGGCTGCTGCACTTTTACTAAATTGCGATTTCACTACTGCCAGCAAAGTTATGGTTTTGTCATGAGTTTGTCTGTTTGTTCTTTATTTGTTTTATCTACAATTTAATCCCCAAAGTGTCATTAAGCAATATGTGTACGCGTTCTTCCAAGGATGTCCCAGATGAAATATTGTCAGCACTATGAATTTAACACACGAATCTCAATTCAACACGTTTTTATTTCTTCCATATTAGGTTGTAATTTGTTCTGCTTCAGTTGGATCTTATTACATTTTGTTACTTCGGATTCGAATAACAGTTTGATATGGGACATCAAATTTGTTGTTTTTATTGGTTGACCGTTTTTCCTTTTTAATAGTTTGGATGGACATATTCAATTCATTGATCAATTGAGAGTCAAATCTGGATCAAGTTGAAATGATTTTTGATTTATCATGCCTTGCAGCAACTCAAGCAAAACGAGTTGCACGAGTTGACTACGATCTGCAGAGGTACTGTGTACTCACACTCAATCAGTTTGCTTTCTGAAGGAGTACAATATTGTCTAACATCAACTTGGGGGGGGGGGGGGCATTTGTGGCGGTTCCTTGGGGCCTACCCGCCCAGTGCTCTTGTGGTGCGCTTGAGTGCTTTGGAAATAGCGGCTTTCTGGGTCTCAGTGCTGGGGTCTCAGTAACCCATTGACTTG